ACAAAAAATAGCACAATAATACTATAAATAAAAAAAATAATATTGACTTAAAATAAGTTATAGGTAAATATTTATTTTCAGGAACCTCAATTTTTAAGAAGTCCAACTTTTAATAACAGTAAAATATTTGTTCAAAAAGAAGACCTTCAATCCAGGATGACATTCTTAGAAAACTTGGTATATTCTAAAATAACAAATTTAAATTTGTCGAACCAGGTGAAAGTATTACTGAAAATATAGATGTTCCAAAAACCAAGGCTCCTATATTAGTAGAAGAAAAAGTAATTTTTAATTCAAATAGTGCTATTTTGAGGTATGCTTTACTTTTTATATACTTTTAGAAATGTACTGAATGGTGGTGTCCAAGACACAGCAATTTTAAAGATATTTTAGATAAAATAATAATTAAAGATCAGTCCACAGAAGATAAATATATCATCCGTAAAGCCAAAGCCAGATTTGTTTACTGGCAAGGTGAAAAAAATAAAGTAATTTTAATTTATTGCCTAAATTATTCCTTATTAAATTACAATATATAAAATACTATTTTTTATGTACTATAGAACATGCCAAGATGTCCAGTACAAGACTGTTTGAAAAGGGAAATTGGTATTTTTTTGGCACCTACATGTTGGCCTACCAATAATTAATTAACCAACCTTTTTTTTTTTTTTTTTAATTTGCTCTTTAATACCATTAAATATTAATAAAAAAATGTCTCTTGTAGATACATGTTATTTATTTTAAAATATTTTTGAACCATCATTTATTTTGATATTTATAATTTACATTAACAAGTAATGTAACAATTATTAATTAGTAATTTTTAGTTTAAGTAATACAGTTCTTTATTTTTTGTGAGTATTTGACTATATTCATTCAAAAAAACTAATTAAATATAAATATTTACTTAACGGATTGCATAAGCAGAGTATTAGTGTAAATTTAAAATTTGCTTAACAATCAAATGAATAAAGCCATAACTCATTAACTACAAAGAACATGTGTTATCATACCTCAAAWATAATAGGGATGAATGAGGTTTTCTCAAGTGTGGAAGATAGAATGTAAAAAAGTCCACGCATAGTTACTACTTTAAAACACGTATTCAATTAATCAACAAACTTTGAAAATGGTTTAAAAATTAATGACCTAACCAAGTTAAAATGTTTTAGCACTAAAATTGTTTTTAAAAACATATTTATAAAATA